AAGTATCTTCATGTGGTCTAGACCTGTTAGCAACTGATATTTTCCCTTGAGCCAGTTCTTTTTTTCAGTGTATTTGTCGTCTTTTGGCTCTTTTTAAAAATAAATAAATAAATAAAAGACAGCATCTAAATTCATTATTGTGTAATTTATGTTCTAGAATCGATTCTCATATTAAAATATCGATATTTTAGTACTTTGGGGTAAATTTGTAGTTTTTCATTAACAGGAACACAGTGGAAAGAAACTATATCATTCAGATCTCTAAATTGGAAGGAACTACTTCCTCTTATGCCTTTCATAGTCATATGCGAAATACGGCTGTATAAATGTGTCGCAGCCCCTGGCCAGTGTTGCCAACTCCTCAGTAAGGAAAATCGCTATTGGATATGCTAAAAGTCTCTAGAAGTGCTAAACGACGTCATCGCCTAATTTGCATAATTGGTCATGCTAATATCATTGTAACCCACGTTGTAGGAGAGAAAAGAAGAGACATAAAGTGAGTAAAAAAACGTCCTAAATGCATTTAGAATTTATTTAGAACTACAAATTTAAATTTTTTTTTAGCGATTATTGGGTTTATTTTGTTTTTTTTATGTCACAATTCCAACCTTATTCCTTTATCTGCGCTTGGACCGGCAAAAGTGACCCGAAATAGGCACTCTGGTGGAGTTACTTTGTGTGTGTGTGTGTGTTTAAGTAGTTTTAAACCTTGTGATCCACAAAACAACATAACAGTAAAAGAAGAACTGATTGTGTTACAGTCAGTGCGGGAGCAGAGGCTTCACTCATACGCGATTCATTTGCAGTTTGGACGCATAGGTGGGAACATCTCCTGCCCTGATAGCAGCTGGGGGAGGACTATCCTCTGCCCGTGAGCGCTTTGGCACGGGCGAGGTGCCCACAGCATCACCCGCTGCTTGTTGAGAAGAGCGATACGCGCTTTCACGTCAAAAAGTTGTCATAAATAAGTCTCCAGTAACACTAGAAAAAGTCACCAGATTTGTCACTAGTCGTTTTTTAGAATAAAAGTTGCTAAGGGGCTCTGAAAACTCGCTAAATATAGTGACAAAGTCGCTAAGTTGGCAACACTGCACCTGGCGTGCGCACTCACAACAATGGCTGAGCGTAAACGAAGTCATGTGTGGACATATTTTACCTCCACAAACAGCCAAGACGCGATTTGCGATACATGTGGCAAGACAGTGAGGTGTTGTGGCAACACCACTAACCTCGTCAAACACCTCAGAGTAAATCATATCACAGAATATGATGGGCTTATGTTGAGGCGAACTGAAGAGGAGGAGAGGGACAGGTGCTGCTAGGGCGAGACAGACGTCTCTCACAGAGTCCTTTAGTGCTGCAGGCAGGCAACATGTTCAAATAGCTCACAACTTCAGGTTTTTTATTTCTATATGATTATACTGCATTATTTAGCAAGAAGAACAAGTAGTCTGATGTCCTGTAATCATTGTGAAGCTATTTTATTATATTATTATTACAATGACATAATGCAATTCTATACTGTATTATGAAATACAATGAAACATTAAGTTTTTGCAGTATCGGTATTGGATCAGTATCGTCGATACCACCCTGGATTTTATTTGGTATCGGATCGGAAAGGAAATCAATGGTATCGAACATCACTAGTTCTCTAGTGATGTTCGATTCATGAACGAATCGTTCAATACTCGAGAATCACTTTACTGACTC